AAATCCACCATTGTAGCCTGAAAATCACAACAAAGACTTTTCTATAAGAAGAGAACCCCAGAACACCATTTTCTACAATGATGACAGTCTAGGGAATATTATCCTCAGGAGCCGGTTCATAGTACTCAGCAATTCAGGCACTTGACACCTAGAACAAGAGATAAGGAACCTTGGCTACTGCTCCGATGGTGGCAGACCTTTTCATCATCTGTGTGGTGCTGGTTTTAGGTGCACGCAGAATGCAGGTGCTGTGGGGTCGGATTTCTACCCAAATTTCCATCGAGATTTCAGAAGAAGACCAGGGAGGCCAGGAAGTACATACATCCCTGAGAGGACAGTGTGTAAAGCTGTGAGTGTGAAGTCAAAGGTGCTGTGGAGACTCCAGCGGGTAGGAGAAGCCAGCAACATGGACCATCTGTGGAGAGCTCAAAGGAGTAAGCAAAGTTAGCCCAAGGGAAAAGCCATGAGAACAGCAACTGGCAGTGCATTAAGGGCAGAGCCACCCATGGCCTTTGGCGTTCACACTTTGCCAGACTTCCCTGGAAGCTGGACATGGAAGTACTGAGCTTAATATTTGCTTGCTGTACTACATTTTGGTCCTGTTTTGCCCCCAGTCTTTTCTATCCCCCTATTTGTACTTGGGGAAATGGGGATGTTTATCTTGTACCACTGCATCTTTAACTTTCATTTCATCTGTACAGGAGTCACACTCTCCAAGGAAACTTTGATCTTGGCTTTTTCAGCAATGCTGAAACTGTTAGTTCTCTGGCAACTCTTAGAGATGGACTAACTGCCCTCTTCATAAAGGAATGTGCACGTGGGCTTTAGAAGACAGGGGAGAGATGTTATGGCTTGTATCTATATGTTCCCACAAAGCCTCAAGCACTGATAGGTGGGGCTTTTCAGAGTTGGATGGATCCAGGGCATATGATACTAGGGATAAGTGTGTGTGGCACTACATTAGTCTGCTGATAGGAATTAGTGTAGTTCTGGGTGTTGCTGAATGGATTTAGTGAACCAAGAAGCACCACTGTGTTGTGGTGGTGCTACCCAAAAGAGCTGTACCTGAATGGGATCAAAGGGGAAAAGAAATTTCCCTTGCTGCCATTTGCTGCTTGCTGCCTTCTGCCTGCCATACCATGACCTACTTTTCTTCTGTGATGCCCCTCTGCCACGCCACCCTGCCTTGGAGCCAGCCAACTACGGGCTGAAACCTCTACAAATTGTGTGGCAAAGTAAGCCTTTCTTCCTTTAACTTCTGGCTGTCAAGTATTTTGTCTCACACCACAAGAGAAGCAACCCAGTCCCCCCCCCCCGCCACGGGGGCACATTTCCCTAGCACCTCATTCATTCAGGCTCACAGGACGACCTCCTCTGGAAATACACCCAAATAATACACTCTCCAGGTTTTTAGATATTCCCTAATCTAACCAAAGTGCCACCAAAATCATCACACATATGCATTTCAAATTATTCTTCAAATAAGGGTGATGTATTTTTAAAATTTTATGGAAGGAGAAAATATTACTGACCTCTGACAAATCTTGGCCATTGATTTAAAAGCAACTTTTGCCAGGGTTAGAGATGAGTGACAGAGCACCTGCCTGGCAAAGCATCTGCCTGCCTGTACTTGTACTCAAGTACAGGGTCATGAGTTCAATTCATGGTACGAGAGAGAGAGAGAGAGAGAGAGAGAGAGAGAGAGAGAGAGAGAGAGAGACAGGGAGAGACAGAGACAGAGAGAGACAGACAGCAAGAGAGAGCTTGAGAGAGAAACAGAGACAGAGACAGAGAGAGAAAGACAGAGACAGAGAGACAGAATGAGAGCAATTTCCATCACAGAAAACAAGAACATGTGGCAGAAAGGCCTGTGTTTATATCCCAGCTCAAGCACTTACTCACTGTGGGACTTCTGCAACTGTCTTTAGCTCTCTGTACCTCAATTTTGCCATCTATAAAATAAATAGTAGTGCCTAACATTACCATTGTGAGGACTAAGTGAGGTTGTATGTATAAAGCATTATCACAGTGCTGGCATCAGGGAAGTGTGAGAGGCAGTTCTTACATCTCCACCCTTCTCAGCTCTTTTTACACACAGAGAAAAAGCAGTTAGCACACCATTAGGAAAGGGCAGTGGACATAGTGTAGTCAGGATAACGCATTTACACTGACAGATAATCATAAATGTATGAGACCCAAGTACTGAAGCTTCCAGATGCTACCTAAAGAAGTTGGAAGCACAGTTTACCTGAGCCATGGAAGGTCCCTGGAAGTGAGAAAAGCATGATTATTTCCTGGAGGAGGATGGATTGGCCAGGCCCAATTCAGGCCCCAGAGTGGGTAGCAGGAGCCAGGTACTGAGTGCGACAGGAGAAGGAGAGCATTCAAAAGCAGAAGAACCACTGGGGGGAGAAGGATGTGGCCACACAGGAAGGGGCTGGGGTGGAGATGGGGCTGGATGCACACGGCAGAGGTAGGAGGAGGTCCTTCCAAGGGTGTGGAGTAATAGCAAGGAGAGGTGAGGCCTAAGAAACAGGCATGTACATTGTACACGCTCTTTGCAGACTGCTTTAAGGATCCAGTAGGAATGGAAGCAAACAGTAAGACAGATGACCATAGGGGAACACAAGACCTGAGTAAACTTCACCTTGTTTTCTGAGGATGGCTCTAGAACTTCATTTGCAAACTAGGTGGGAGGAAGTAGATCTCCCTGCACACCAGACCCAGAACAAAAGCCAAAGCCTGGGATGGGGACAGCGAGGACTTTAAAGCAGCAAGTGGACCATGCACAAGGGGCCGGGAGCAGTGAGCTCAGGGCACACAGGTCTCTGCAAGAGACTCTGCCTCCAAACAGGTCTCCATTGCTCAGAAACAAACTCAAGTGATGCCTTTTCTTTCTTTACTATAAATGGATGTTTATTTTAAAATAAAGTCATTATGGAAATAATTGTTCAGAAGCAGAGGCTTTACTGGAGTGACGTGGAGCATGGAGTTGCTCCGGGCTCCAGCTGGGTCTGCTGGCTTTCTCATGCCTTGTTACAAGATTCGATCACAACAGATAGCATGGGCTGAGCCTCTGAAAGGCCTATGCAATCAGACTTAGATGAACTTTACCCTAGCTTCTCTCAGTGTCAGGTTAGGTGTGGTTTTAAGAAACTTTAAAAACAATGGTAAGTGGAAGAGGTGCCTCTACTTATTCTCCTGAGGTCACCAAAAACCTGAACAGAGAGAATTCGGTGCTGGAGCTAGGAGAGAACCTACAGCTGCTGTGACACCAGCTCACTACACGAGCAAGTGGGAGGAGAAAGAATCTTGAGGTACAGTGCAGGCCAGCACCCCACACTCATACCAAACCCTGTCCTTCCATCAGTCCAAGGTACCTCGCTCACACAGGGCAGGTCCTGCATGAAAAGACTGACATGAGGAGCACAGCAGGAAGCAGAGCCAGGAGCCCAAGGTGCAGCTACAGGGCATGGCCACGACAAGTGGTGGCACACTGCTGCAATTGCAGCCTCCAGAAGGCTTAGGCGGGAAGGTCCCAAGTGGGAGCCCAGGTTGTGCAATTTAACAAGACCCTGTCTCAACATAAATAGGGCTGGAGACCTGGCTCAGCGCAAAGGTCCTGGGCTCAATTCTTAGTAGCACAGAAAGAAGAAAAGGAAGACAGAGAAAAGAAGGAAGGAGGGAGAGAAGAAAAGAGGAAGGGGAGAGAGAGAGAGAGAGAGAGAGAGAGAGAGAGAGAGAGAGAGAGAGAGAGAGAGAGAGA